TTTGAAACCCAGGCTGCACAGATATTTGCTGAATCAGCAGGACGAGCTGCTGTGCATCTTGCTTGGTCCTGGGCCAAGGGGAAAATGTGCCAGGATGGCTTTTTGAGGTCTTTTGGAGTTGACTGTGCAGGTCTGGGAAGGGCTGGAGAGTGTGGAAGGAAAGACTGGGGTGGAGCAAAGCTTGAGGGGTTTCCCAGAGGCTGGGAAAAGACTTGTTTCAGGAAAACTGTGCTCTTTTTGAATAAAAAGAAGGAAAGAGCAGCTGCATAGGTGCTTGGAGAGGTAGAAGACAGTAATCTTTTCAAACATCCATTCTGCTCCAGCTTCCAGGTATGAACAGAAAGATACTCACACTCCCTCCTGCTAACGAGTCTTCATTCTGGGCTCGTTTTCCAATTTACTGGCCAGGAGTCCTCTCCCCGGTGGGGATAGGAGAAGGAAAACAGACAGTTTGGGGAGTCTTGGCCTCAGCAATCAGGCCTTCGAAGCACAAGACAGACCAGGTCCCCATGTGCCAGGGCTTTCCTTACCCACTGACAAGTTCAGCTGGGAAGAAGGGTGCACGAGGATGGAATGATGAACACATGCAATACAGATATCTTGGGTTCTTCACCTTTGAGACTCCCTCCTTTGCAGTTATCCTTGGCTCTTACTGTTCCTTGACATGAACCTTTACTTCAGCAAAGAAGGCCTTGTCTCTGGCTCTGAACCTAGTTTGCATGCTCATCCTTTTTACCCTGTACTGTTCTGGAGGAGGGTAGCTCTAAGTAGCTGCACTATGTTTATACCTGTTTAAAAGTTTCTAGAGGGCTGGGGATATAGCTCAATGGCACAAGCACCTACTTGGCAGTTGTGAGGTCGTGAGTTCAATTCCCGGTACCAAAAAAAAAAAAGTTTCTAGATATGTGTCTCATGGGTGTTGAGCAAAGACTACTTCTTGTTCCTAGTGCAGAGTGCAGAATTTTGAATAGACTGGACTCTTGATACATTTAGTTGACTTCTGGATAGACCTAAATGCTATCTCAGTGGCTTTCAGCATGAGCTATTCCTGAGCTGCCACCTTCAGACAGACAACCCTAACTCAATAGCAGCAGAGATACTTGCTCCAATTAGCATCTTAGACAACTCGGGCCAAAAGACACATTTGAAGGTTTTCTAGCCATCCCCACCCTTTATTCAGAATGAACTAAGGAGCTCTGAAGATGACCCAAGATTTATATCATGCAAGGCTGAGGGTATAGCTCAGGGGTAGGAAGCTTGCCTAATATGCATGAGGACTGGAGTTCAATTCCTAGCACCACCACCCCTCAAAAAAGTCATGATTTCTTTCCTGCTTGCAAGGTGAAGGCAGAGAGGAAAGAGTGTAGCTTAAGTAGAAGTGAAGGACAGGAGGAAAATAGAAAGAAGGCTGTGAAAGAAAGATTAGGAAGGAAGAAAGAAGCCATTCAGACTTTGTAACCATGTTGGATCACAGAGCTTAGAGAAAAAGCAAAATTTGAAGTATAATGCAAAGATCCCACCTAGCTTCCCATAGTCGTCTGCCTTCGGACCTGGAAGCCTGGCCAATCCGTGGCATCCACAGACTCAGAATGCATGACTGAGTAGGCGGGTAAACGTGCTCAGAGAGCGGGGTCATACTGCCACCAGCAGCTTTAAACAAGGTCATGTGCTTCCATGGCAAGGGGCCTTTGCCAGGTCAGACTGAGGCATGGCACGAACCAGAAAAGTGACAATAATCAATTCTGTAACTGCTGTGAGCCTTGATTTGAAAAACAAAGAAGGAGGGGTTATGTTTGCTGCTTTCCTTAAGCAGCATGAACAGTGGGGGCCAGAGCTCGCAAGAGTCAGGAAGCCATGCAGAGAGAGAATTTTAACCCCTCAAGAGTTTTTATGCCGCAGTATCTCTGTGCTCCCACACCTCCACATTGTTGTTTCATTAGCTCAACATCCAAGGCCACCCCCCTCTGTGTCTCTCCTACCTGAAGGAAGGACAAAAGGCCACATATTATTGCAGATCAACTGGCAATGAAATGATCCAGTATTTCCTCATTCTAGATGCCCCAGGACTCCTGCTTCTTCTGGAATTGGTCAAGAAGAGGAGTTCAGGGAGTGGTGTAAGAGACTGACCCAAGATTTATATCATGCAAGGCTGGGGGTATAGCTCAAAGGTAGGAAGCTTGCCTAATATGCATGAGGACTGGAGTTCAATTCCTAGCACCACTCCCCTCAGGGAGTGGTGTTAGACTGTGTCTAACGAGCACCTCACCGGGCACATTCTCACCGTACAGTGAGGCCAGAGCAGAATGAGAAAAGATATGCAGCAAAATTATGATTGGAAGCCTTCTCTGCTGTCTCTTCCCCCTGCTTCAGCATGCTCAGTGGAGAACTGATTCAGCAGGGAGCTCCCTGGAGAAATCCAGGGAGAGGGTTGCCAGTTCTGCTCTTCTCCTTACCTTACCCTATCCACGGCCATCTCTCCCTGCCGGCTGGCTCTGTCTAGCCCTGCATTGTGCAGAGTTATACGCAGGGGAGGACAGATATCTGGAATGGGGGCCACGGGTAGAGAGCAGCCTGGGGCCAAACACGTAGCCAGCAATGGTGAATCCTCCTTGAGGTTCTGTGGGGAAACGTGGGCTAAAGTTAGGCAAAACAGTGGGGGAAGAAATGGGTGAGCCAAAAGGCAGCCGATCAGGCAGGATATGGGTGATTTCACACTCAAAGGAAGAGGGAGAAGGTGGGGCAGGTATATCCCTGCTCTCTAAGTCTTTGGGTATCAAGTCCTGTGGAGAAGGGGGAAAGCTCAAGGTTCTAGAGAAAGCAAGAAGCTACTGGGGTGCAGAACTTTGTGAGTGAAAGATTTCCAACAACTTCCATGCTCCTCGGCCATGTTGATTATTTCTTATTTTTGTCGTTCTCCCTTGGGAAGTGAAAGCAGGGCAGGGGAGGAGGAATGATAAAGGTGTCACATACTGTTGACATGGGAAGCTAGATAAGAATCTAAGTGATTCCTACGTTTCTAAATCCCCAACAGGAGCATCTGGGTAGAAGGTATGGGCCCTCTAGGCCACTTGGGGGGCCGCGGCAAAGTCTTCATCAAGAAGAGTTATTCAAGATTCTTTTGGGGAAACTTCATGCCTTTCTTGCCCACACAGACCCTTGAAGAGCGGCAGGGAGACTGGGGACATAGTTAGAGAGAAGGGAGACAGCAAATGTCATGACAGAGTCAGGTGTAATCGTTAACAGGAAGCCAGGGCTGCCCCTAGGGAAATGGAATGGACTAGTTCTTTTCCCTTATTTGGGAGAAAGGCCGTAAATATTTGGAAGAATGCTGCCTTTTGCTGAACCACGGGCACTGTGGAAACCCCAACTGTCTGCTGTCTATGCCAGCTAAGGAAAGAAAGTCATGAAACTGAAAGGACAAATGAGCCACTGAGGGAGTCGAGGAATAAAACTGTATCTTCTTGGAGTCTGAATCAAATGCTTTAGACCTGTCAAGCCAGATCATCCTAGATCTTCACCCCTATGACGCCCATAGTTCTGTTAAAAGCTCTATGAGCTAACATGCCCTGACCTACCTTTTCTAATTCCACAACATATGGGAGAAGAAGATGCAGGGTTTAGCAGGGTAATGCTGGGGGGGAAATGGGGGTCCCCCAGACATAAAGCACATTTGAGATTGAATAAAGATGAGATTCTCAGCAGTCCCTTCCTCCCCCAACTCCTCCTTTCCTTTAGTATCGCCACTGCTAGGGCCAAGTGCTGGCCAAGTGCTGATTTCTCCAGGGCTCTTCTGCAATTTTTCCATCACCTGTCTAATCAGAGAAGGAAAGCTGACATGACCACAGCCTTCCCAACAGAGAGGACCGACTATCCCAGCCTCCTTCCATTTGTTCTTTTTATATTCCTAGTCCATGGGCCTCATGAGTGAAGAAAAAACTTGAGGTCTGGAAATTGCTGGATGCGGGTAGTTAACATTTCTCTTGAGACCCAGTATAAGATTTCAGTTATTGCCAAATAGCTAAGGGGAAATAGGGCTTGCAGTCATTAGCCATAACAGAGATTTAAAGAGGCATTACATCCAAATAACTACTGTTTGCCAGCGATTCCCCTCGTCATTTTTCCCTTTCCACAATTGCCAGTGTCCCTGCACAGAGAGCCTCCTCGTGTCAGAAGGAAAAGCTATGGTGAGATCAAGCTCTTGCGCGATGACTGAGTCCTCTATTGATTTGGTGGGTTGCTAGCTTGTACCCCTCACTGCAGGGATTCAGCAGAGAGGTGCCCACTCAGGCTAAAGCAGATTAATCTTCCTCCAGGTAGCCACATCTGGCTTTGACTCCTACTGCACCAGTTAAAGAGCCAGCTTGTTCCTCTGGAAAATGCTTTCTTCCCCCTTTATCTGCCTCTGTCTCCAGCTCCCCTGCCTCTTCACACCACTCCTGCCTTTTAGCTTTATCCTCTGCCTCTTAAATTCCCTTCTATCCCAGTCTTGCTCATTTTGGAACGACCCTCCCACCAAGGCCCTTTAAAGCTCTTAACAAGCCTCTTGGCCAATCCTTTATCTTTTTTCGGATCTCTCTCAGTTTAAACAATTTTACTACCTGAATTCCCTCTCAAGATTTCCCTAACTTAAATCTTTCACTGTTCCTCTTTCTTTCAGTTTAATCATCATGCCAACTTCCTCTCAATGTGTCTCCTTAAACCCTGCCAGTTCCCAGTATCCCCAATTACTTAGCGCACATTTTTCTCCTTCTTTGCCACCAAAGATAATCTGGATGAAAGATACCCCTTCACTCCAACATCCACAAAACCTTCTTAAACACTGATGCCATTCTCTCCTTTCCTCCAAATCTCCTTGACACACTTCTACCCCAAGGCACCCTTTCCCCTTCACTTCACGTTACCCTAGTCCTTCAGACTCTTACGCGCACCCGATTCCCCTCCTCACACCCACTTGCGTCTCCTCCTCCCAACACAATAGTCCTCATCCTTTGCCCACTCACTCGGGTCTCCTGCTCAGGACGCCCTTGCCCAGGGCAGCCGACGATTTGTGCTGAAGGAGGGCTCCGGCGGCAGCGCAGCAACTCGGGGGACGCTCCTTCTCCTTGTCGGCCGCGGCCGCAAGTGTCACCCGGTGCTGGTGGGGCGACTGGGGTGGGTGAGCCCTGCCGCCGGGCCCGGGCTGAGGCTGCGCTGTGAGCTGTCCGTGGTGCTGAAGCTGCGGCTGCTCTGGCGCGGGCTGAGGGGCG